GGAGGATGGTAAGGTGAGCCAGGACCTGCCTGACAGTACACACAGGACAAGCCATGCTGAGCGCTGGGCTTCGGGTCAGGACTCCTGTCTTTCCTGTATTGCAGTAAGCTGTTTCCTCCATCTTTTTGGTCCATCACTGCTTCCCTCCCATATCTGCCTGCTGATGATCTGGTTCCCCTTGTTCTGAACCTAATTAATCAAGACAGGCCTGGTGGGCCTCACTTGCTACTCAGCGGGTCCTGAGGCCTCATGGGGTTCCTACCCCCAGGTAGCATTGCAGCCATGCTGAATTAGTGGGGGGCTCATTGCTGTGACAAAATACTCAACGCAAGCAACTTAAGGAAGGGTTTGTTGTGGCTCACAGCCCATCATGTCAGGGGAGTCATGTTGGCAGCTGGCCACACTGCGTCCACAGTCAGGAAGCAGAGAGATGAATGCTGGCCTCAGCTAGCTCTCTCCTTTTACTCAGCCTGGAACCCCAGCACATGGGAGGGAGCTGCCCACATTCGGGGTGGGTCGCCTCACCTCTTAACTCATGCTAGAGACTCCCTCCCAGATGGTCCCAGAGGCTTGTCTCCTAGGTGATTCACAGCTGGCCTCTGGCCCAAGTCCTGCCCCTTCTCCTTGAGGCAAGTTGGTTTTGAGCATTTCTGCAGGGTGTGTAGCTGGGGGGGTCCGCTCTGCCTAGAAGACAAAACTACATTATATACAGAAAAATGTACATTTATTAAGACAAATGGCCGCGTGCTCCCTGAGGGGGTGTGTAGAAGACACGCACAGCTACTCCTCACAGGCCGGAGTATGATTTGTGTGTGACTGTCAGCCGGGGCAGCCTCCCTCCCTAGATTTGTGAAAACAGACTAGGATTCTGGCCTCTGAGGTCCATCCCCACATGGCAGTCAGTAAAGGCCCATGGCACACAGAGACTCAACACCTCCCCATCCTGCCCCTCCCCCATGTGGTAGTCAGAGGAGATGAACCTGAAATGTGAATGGGAGCCCAATGGGCCTCACTGGACCCCTTCAGTGGGGGCCCATGACACACAGAGAGTCAGCACCTTCCCTTTCTGCCCCTCCCCAACTGCCATCCCATCTCTTATCCCCAGTGCCCAGTGTTGCACCACTTGGCTGTTGGCACACCTGAGAATGGGTCTTCTTGCCATCTTTGGCTACTCCTGGACCAGAGCACCTTCCCACCATTAGTGATGGCAACACCCAGATGGTGGACAGCCATGCCCAGGTTGTCTGCAAATGCTCCGTGCAGGCTGGGACCTGGGCTCTGTTTCATACCTGTACTTCTCTTCTGCCACTGTAGGTGTCCTAGCTGCTGTTCTCATTTCTCAAGGTTAGGCAGCTGTCACAGGGACTTGACATTCTGTGCCTCCCCCCCGCCCCCCAACACACAAGACCAGTGGTCTGTCTGCAGCCCAGCTGCCCGCAGCAAACATGTTGCAGGCCGCACCAATGGCCGGCCACCTGGACTGCTCCTCCAGGCAACAGCAGGAGTTGACCAGCTCTCAGCCTGTGTGAAGAATCCAGGTGGGATAGGCTTCACTGGGGCAGCAGTGGGCACTCAGAGCGCACCCTGATTACTGGCAGCCATCAAACGGAAGACTCAGGCACTAAAAGTGCCATTTGGGGACCAAGCTGTGATTCATCAAATTCGGGCCAATCTAACTAAGTGTTCTCTGAGGCCCTCAAGCGGCAGCCAGGCTCAGAAAACAGACGCCAGGGAGGAGCTGTGACGACACCCAGCCTAGCTAGTTCACCATCTGTAGCAAGGGCCACTTAAAAGAAGTTGAGTTCTCGGTAGTAAGTGACATGGGCACACACATTCACAGTCACAGGCATACACACCCTCATACACTCAGGCACACTCATACGTCTGTACTCAGCACACAGCCTCTCATTCACGTGCACACATTCTCCTCCTCCAGACTTCTACATTCTCCAACACCCTCATTTACACAGACACACTACAGGTACCCACAGCACACACCCATACACAGATGCTCATCTGACTCGCACACACATCTCAGATACACATGCATGCACATTTGCACCCACAAACCCACACACTCACATGCACACACTCGTTCACATATACACACATGAACAAACATTTTCCCTCACTTTCACATACCTTCACACACACTCTTGTCACTTTTCATCCCTTCTCCACTTCTCCAGGATGTAGCCATGTCTTGGTGGTGTCAAGAACTGTTCTCTGGTCACTGGAGCTTAGCGCCTGTGCTAGGTGCAGCAGGTGTCCACTGAGTGCTTGTGGCATGAATGGACACATAAGTGAGGGGCATACAGAGCCTGCATCCCTCATCCTTCTGAGTTTTAAGGTTTTGTTCTGGGTCTTGTATTTACTGGGGACCAAACCCAGCACCTTCCACGTGGTAGGTGAATGCTCTTCCACTGAGCTGCACCCTCCCCCTCTCCCTCACTGTGTAGTCACACCAAGGCTGAAGCAGCCTCAAGTCAGAGCAGTATTGATAAGGAAAGGACAGCTACATTGATGTGGCAGATAATATGACATGCTAAATAGAGACAAACACCCTGGCAAGGGAGCATTCACAGATGACTAACTGCCTCTAAATGGAGAAGAGCGGGGAGTGTTGAATGAATGGGTTCAGCCAGCATCAGCCATGATTCAGGACAAAGCCTGCTGTACATCAGCTACTGCATGGCCAGGCACAGCTGCCCCTGAACCCCTGGTCCTCATAATCATCGGGAAATGCCATCATCCAGGGAGCCTGGGTGGAACCAAGCTAAGGGGGCACTTGTAGGTACGGTCCCGACTGTCTCTAGCAGTGCCCTTCAGAGTGAGGCCATCCGCTAGCCATGCCTTCATGTTACACTATGGAACTGGCGAGCCCCTCAGCATCTGTTCATTTGGGTTAGTTACATGTGCTTAAAGCCAGTTCTGCTGAGTTCTTTTAATGTTCTCTTGAGAAATTAAATATAGCAACAGGAAAGTGAGTTCCTAACAGCATCTGTAGCAGAAAAGCTTCCAGAAAACTTGACACCTAGTTTGGCCTTCTTGTCTGGGCTAAATATGGGCAGCTGGGCAAAACAAAGGTGAATTGTTGGCCAGCACTGGGGCCCAGGGGCCCTGGTTCATAGCATCGCAACCCTGACTGTCACTGTCTCAAGCTAAGTGCAGCCTAGGGGCCTGGGGCATGGGGGTGGCTGTGATGTTGCTGTAGACTCTCTCACTGTTGCTGGAAAGGGCTGTGATGTAGGGCATCCCTAGCTTACAAATAAACCCATTTCAAAGGGACTGTGAACACCCAGTTAAGCTCTCTTTGCTGTAGCCCAGCATTCAGGGGTCATAACAGAGCCCAGACATGGAAGACCGTAGGGTTGACTCTGGCTTCTAATACCATGAGTCTGCAACTTCAGTTGTTCCACCTCCTTAAGCATTTTCTTATGGAGATATGGAAACTTCTGCATGTCCCAGGGAGACCTTGAGGATTAGATGAGACAGTTTGAGAACTACAGTGCCCTCTGCCCAGGGCCTGTGTCTTCTGGGAACAAACGTCAACCCCTCTCTCTCCCTGAGCCCTGGAGTCAGAGCCTACACTACCACCTTCCTGCCCACCCTGCTTCCTCTTATCCTCTGCCTGATGTGCTGGTTTCTGAGAATGGCAAAGAAAGACAGAAATAGACCTCCACACACCCAAGGTGGATACCAGAATCCTAGCACGGAGGCCCCTGAGGTACACGCTCTCCTTAGTTCCAAGGGAGGATCCTTCCTGCCTCTTCTAGCCTCTGGCTGCTCTAGGCACCACCCTGGTCCCCACCTTCATCCTCTTATCAACACCCCAGTCTCTCTCCCTTTCCATTATGGACAGGCCTGGTATGGTGGTTAGTTTTCGTTGTCTACTTGACATAATCTAGAACCTGGGAAGAATGTTTGAATGAGAGATTGTCTAGATCCCCCTGGCCGGTGGGCGTGTCTCTGAGGGATTTTCTTGACTACATTGATTGCTGTAGAAAGATCCAGCCTAACAGGGATGGCACTGTTCCCTGGGTTTGGATCCTGGACTGCATGAAAGAGGAGAACGTGAGCTGAGCAGTGAACACACATGCATCCTTTCTCCTCTCTTGACTGTGGATGTGATGTCACCAGCCGCTTGAGTCCCTGCTGGACTTCCCTGCAGCGATGACCTGGAATTGTGAGCTAAATAAGACTTTTCTTCAAGTTACTTTTGTCAGGGTATTTTATCACAGCAACAGAAACTAAAGCACGGGGTAGGACTCTCCCTGAATCCAGGGTGACCTTGCCTCTAGACCTTCCATTCAACACATCTGCCAAGACCCTTTTTTCCACACAAGGACTAGTGCCTGGTTCTGGAGGCTACGATGTGAACATAGCTTTTGAGAGAGTTAACAGTTCAACTTGCTGCTTTATCCCTTCAGGGATCTGAGCCTGTCCCAGGTCCTGGGACAATGGAAGGTGGGCAGATAGTGGGGACGCTTTTTGCCAGTCTTGGGGTGTATCATTTGTAAGCCCCAAAGGTGGGCTGGCCAGGCTCTGCAGAGCTCTGGGTAATTCTGAGTTCATCACTTTGGTAAGCAAATTATAGTACTGACAAGGAAAGAATAAAAGTTACCCCAAATCCCACCCCTCCTGACTCGCATCTCGTCTGTTTCCTGCAGTATGGGGGCAGGGTCCCTTCACCTGCCCATTTCTCTGCCTTACCTGCACCAATAAGCACAGGCCAGAACCCTCTTTGCCACCATCTGGCTGTGTCGTGAGACCAGCCTCTCATACTGTTTCTTGTGCCATGTACTGGGCCCTCGCTTGTCACCAGGTGTCCACATGTTCATTCTAGGAATGAAGTGCTGTCCCCTTCACCCTGGGGTGGGTTGGCTTCATGAGGGTACTGCAGGACACATCCTCCAGCACAGGCCTCAGCAGCCCTGCATCTGAGAATGTTCTCAACCCCCCTTAGCCATAACCACAAGGTCTCTTCTGTGTGAATGCAGGCCATGTTCGAGCTGGTCACCTCCGAGGCCTCCTACTACAAGAGCCTGAACCTGCTGGTGTCCCACTTCATGGAGAACGAGCGGCTGAAGAAGATCCTGCACCCGTCTGAGGCCCACATCCTCTTTTCTAACGTCCTAGATGTTATGGCTGCCAGTGAGCGGTGAGCACTGAAGGGGGTCACCTTCCTCTGTCTCTTCTCCATGCCAGTGTGGCTGAAACTAGGGCCCAGTACACAGCACACGGGCTTCTCTACTTTTGAATATTTGGAATTTTCCATAGAGAAATGTGATTTATAAAGTTGTAAATCTAGACACTGGAGAGATTGCTCAGTGGGAAAGGTGTCTACTGTATAACCATGAAGACTTGAGTTTGAGCCCCAGAACCAAGGTATAAAGGCCAGATACAGTGGCACATACTTGTAGCCCTAGCACTGGGAAGACAAGAAGGTCTCTGGGGCTGGCTGGCCAGGCAGTCTAGTCTAATTGGTGAGTTCTAGGCCAATGAGAAACCCTGTCTCAAAACACTAGGTGGATGATGCCTGCAAAACAACTAAGGTTAACCTCTGGCCTCCACATACTTTGTGCATACATGTACACACACACACAGAAATCCAAAGACCCACCATCTCCTCCAGCAGGGTAGCCAGTAGTGTCCCCTGGGTCCCTTCCAGTCAGCCCTTGTGCCCCTTGCATCCCCATGGTGCTGTGAGCTAAAGGACACTTCTGTTAGAATGTTATACATGAAACCCACAACTGGCCCATCAGGCAGGCCTGTGTGGGTCTCATGACCCTCACAGGGTCCAAGAGTGTCCGAGAACAGCTGATGACCCTGAGATCACAAAAGCTAGCTCAGTGTGTTGAGACCTGAGATCCCTTGGGGGCCAGTGCAAACAGAGCCCAGGTTCCTGTTTCCCTCTTCTCTCTCCTTGGGTGTCCAGCAGTCCATGGACGGGATTCAGGATCTGTGATGGACCTGTGTGAAGGAGGAAGTGAGCTCAAGTGGAGAAAGATGAGACAGATTAGGGTGAAGAAACTGCTTAGCATCTTCCTGCAACCCGGGCAGCCGCTGGACCAACCTCTCACAGTCAGATGAGGCGGGAGGCGGCAGAGGCAGCCTTCCCCTGCAGGGAAGGGCCACTCAGTGTCGCATGTGGAAGCCTGGGTGCTTTTTGCTGTCTGTGGGCCCTCCAGTCTCCCTTTTTGTATGGATACATGCTATCTCTTTGCAGTCTCTGTACCTCCTGGTAGCTGTGCTATCTGTAGGTTCTAGAAGTGATGGTTCACTGAGGCCAGAGCAGCCTGTGAGACCCCTGAGCTTGCTATCTATATTATTGATTTATGTTTTACTATGGAAAATTCCAGAATGCAGAAGAGACACCCATGCAGTGAGCCCCATGTGTTGGCTACTGATTTAATGAGTGAGGTACACAGGGCCAGTCTATGTTCACTCATTCCCCACCCCTGCGAGCACCCAGGGGACCATGATAAGATAGACCTTCACTGCCATTATGCCCCGTGCACAAATGCATCAGTGCACACCTAAGAGATAAAGATAAGTCTCTTACGCTGATGCCGTTGCCTACCTAAAAGTTATTCCTCAATGTGCTCAAATATGCCATCAGTGTGCAGAGTCCCCACCTACCTTGCCAGCCAGCGTGCTGGTCTGTCCAGACGCCCTCAGCGCAGCCCCTGCCCCTTGCAGGTTTCTTCTGGAGTTGGAGCACCGCATGGAGGAGAATATCGTCATATCAGATGTGTGCGACATTGTGTATCGCTACGCGGCTGAACACTTCTCAGTCTACATCACCTATGTCAGCAACCAGACCTACCAGGAGAGGACATACAAGCAATTGCTGTGAGTGAGCCCAGTCTGGGCTCAGCCATCCTTTGCCTGAGCAGTCCTAGGGTCACACTGAACCACAGAACTCAGTCAGGCTGGTGATGGTATCCAAACCTGGCAGGTTCCCAGAGCATACTGGTGTCACTAGAATATCAATAATCCACCAGGAGAGTCAGCTGACACTCCCCAGACCTGTGTTCAGAACACAGGTGGAACTTTGTGGGCTTAGGGAATGACATCAGGACAACCCAAGATCCAGAACACTGGAAAAGTGGGTTTGAACTAGTGACAAAGGCAAAGGCTGTCAGGATAGGTGTTCATGTCTTGCAGTGCCCAAGGATCCATGGGGCACCATGTTGCCCTGTGGATACAGAGCCCCTGGCCCTGGTAGAAGTTGACACAGCCAGGATGCCCCTGACTAGGCAACCAGCCCTGTGATAAACCCCAAAGTAGTGTCTCTCCCTTGCCCTCAGCAGCACTGTGCCACGTGGCCAAGCCCACCTGTCAAAAATAGCACAGGCTCTCCTGGCAGGTGTCTTAAGCCTGCTGTGGGTTCCATCACTACGTGGGTTTACCTTGCCATGGCTTCCTGCTGGGTGAAATCATCTAATTGTACATCTGATTCATAGACTTGGACACACATGGGATTCTTGCCCTCCTACACACAGCATGTTTTGCTAAGTCTTCATGGGTTGAGCATATGAGGCTACCATTGTTATCTGACTTGTACATGAATAGTTTATTTTCCATGAGAAAAAAAAAATGGAAAAGAGAGAGAGAGTGTGATCACATTGGATCTGTGGGTTTTCTGGTCCCTGGGAGACCATGGGTTGGGGAAGCACCTCGAGGACCTGAGTTGAGAGATCAAGCCCCCTGTGTCTGTGTCCCCAGACAGGAAAAGACAGCTTTTCGGGAGCTGATTGCACAGCTGGAGCTGGACCCCAAGTGCAAGGGCCTGCCCTTCTCCTCCTTCCTCATCCTGCCCTTCCAGAGGATCACACGCCTCAAGCTACTGGTCCAGGTATGGCCTCCCACAGCACTCTGGGCAAAGTCAGGACAGGTGCTCTCGGCATCTAGATACAGAGTGAAACACTGATACACAAGTATAAGAAGCAACTTGAGGGTCACTGTGAACTGATGGAAACTGAGCAATTGAAGAAAAGGAATTACATGGACAGGGCCAAAGTCAGCAAAACCCCAGGCCCATGGTAACTCAGACAGTCCCAGAAGGAAGAGGAGGAAAGCCCTGAGTGCCTTGTGCAAGCATTTTGCCCCATTTGCCCTTGATCTTTAGGGGACAGTGGCTCTGGATGAGAATACACGTCAGCCCTCAGGGGAGCGGGGGGGGGGCATCCCACCAAGGCTTGGACTGCCCATTACCACTCTGCAGCATGGAAGGCGTTTTTGGGTCAAGGCACCCATGTCTGGCCTGGCTGAGGGTCCCCTGCCCTGTCTATCCAGTCGGAGAGCCACATGAAGCTTCAGAGATGATGCCTTTGCCAGGGAGGGAGGGAGGGGGAGAAAAGGTGGAAAGTTGTGGGGATTGATGCAGCCATGTCTTGTGTTTAGAACATCTTGAAGAGGGTAGAGGAGAGATCTGAGCGTGAATGCACTGCCTTGGATGCCCACAAAGAGCTGGAAATGGTGAGTTAGTACATCCTGTGTGACCCAGGGCACATTTCCCCACTCATCCACCTTCCCTGTGGTCTCGTTTGTGGCTTCCATAGACCACTCCCTCTTTGGACATGCCCAGATTGGATGTGGATGCTACCAGGTCCTCTCTCCTGCATGGAACGCTGCTGCCCTCCACAGTTCCCAGGTCTATTTCCTCACTGCCCCAACCCCATTCTTCAGCTTTTGTGCATATAGGCCCTGCCCCAGAGATGGCCCAGGGCTGACAGGCAGGATTGCTGGCTGTCTCCAGCCTTCTGTGCCCTGCCAGTGGCTTGTGGGCTTGGCACCTGCTCTCAGTAGAGCTGAGCATTGGTTTATGGCTGCTGGGCTGGGGTGACTCTACCATGCTGCTGTTGGTAGATGAGAAGGCCCTCACACTCCTTCCTCTATCATCACCCTGGGGCCAAAGCCCAGTGAAAGGAAATCACTTTCCATGGGCTCTGAGACTTGAGACTCTGAAACCATGAAAAATGGAAGTGTGTGTGTGTGTGTGTGTGTGTGTGTGTGTATATATATATATATATATATACACACACACACACACATATATATATGGAAGCGCAAAGACTGTGGTTTATAAATACAGTCTGTACAGTCTGTGATGGTGGCTCTGAGCCATGCTGATTCACTTCCCCAAGCGGCTGTTCCTGTGTCCTTCACCAGGCCAGACAACCACCAAATCCTTCTGGCCCTTGAGCCCTTAGAGCACTGGCAAGGACAGTGTCCCTCCAAGCTTGTCAGGGAGAAGGCTAGGGGTGCAAAGGAGCAACTTGGAGAGAGCCAGTGACTATGAGTCCGGCAGGACCTTTCTGAGCCTCCTGTACCTGATCTGTGGGTCTCCCTTCCAGCCCCTACTGGGCAGGTGGCCCTCTGATCTGTGAAAGGTCCACATGTCCCAGAGGGCTGTCCCTGAAGTCAGCCCAGAGCCAAGATATGTTTCCTAGTCTAAGTTCTTTATGCTTTTATCTCCCTTTTCTATTTCTCATTGCTTTTTTTTAAAAAAAAAAGGTTTATTCCTCTCATTCATAAAAGTAATTAATGATCAAATACAAGAAAATTCAGAAATTCTCTAAGCAAAAAGAAGATAGCAAAGATTCCTGCTACCCACAGTCCTATGACACACTGCTGCCCATACTCCCAAACAGATGCCTGAATGCACATGCATATACGTGTACATACACACACACATACACACACACACAAGCATGTACACATGCTGCAACCGGCACTCCCGAACAGATGCTTGCATGCACATGCACACATGTACACACACACACGTACACATGCTGCAACCAGTCTCCCAAACAGGTGCCTGCATGCACACACACACATGCATATATACACATGTACACACACATATACACATGCCGCAACTGGCAGATGGCACTCCCAAACAGATGCCCGCATGCACACACAGGTACACATCCGCATCATGCACACACAGCATGCTCTGTATTTAAACCACAGTCTTTGCTTTCCCATTTATATACATACACTGCACTTCTTAATGGTTTTAGAGTCTTCAGGTACATGGACTGCTATTTAAGTTGATGACAAGATTTTTTTCATCCTAAACATTGCAAGGAACACCCTTCCAGTCATTTCTTTGGACATTACATTCATTCACAAATACAGTGTCTACATCAGGCCAGGCTCTGTTCATTACTGTGAACAATTTCAGTTTGTTTCTGGAGACAGGCCTCAAAGTCTAGGAAAGTGCAGCATTATCGGCCTCTTGGTTCCTGGCTGCCTCCCACAGTGGGTGTCAGGCTAGCTTGAAGGAATCGTACCTTTTCTAGTCTAGCTGAGAAGAAAGGCCACCTCATCTTCATCTGGGGTCTGGCTTCCTAGCCAAAGTCAAGTTGTCAACCTGTCCTCCAGACCCCACAGGTCTTCCCACTTGCCTTAGTTCCAGGTGGTGCTAGATAAAGAATTCCAGTCCATCTGACACTGACCAATCACTGTCAGTTGCTGGACATACTGCCTAGTCACAGTGGTGGCTGGGGACAACTTGGCAGGCTGGCCTGACATGTCTTCCCTATCCTAGGTGGTGAAGGCATGCAATGAGGGTGTCCGAAAAATGAGCCGCACAGAACAGATGATCAGCATTCAGAAGAAGATGGAGTTCAAGATCAAGGTGAGTACAAGATCTGATCAGCCTGTACCTAGCCATGAGGACCCAGACCCCACTCCAAGGCATGGGTGGTCCTGTACCCCCACTCCCAGCAGCATGGTGGAAGCCAGTCATAATGCCCTATGATTTTTGCCTAGGCTTACTTTCTGAGAGCTGGGGTGGAGGGAATCCAGCTGCCTGTCTCTGAATCCTGCTGTTACTGGCTAGGTGACCCTGAGCAGTTAGTGATAGGGATGGGGACTGTTTGGGATTCTCAGTGCTGGAGAATTGCAAGTCACCTCCCTCATATTTCATAGCAAACTTCAAGCATTCTTGAGTCCTAAAACCCTTGGGGCTGGGTTTCTGGTGATTTGGGCATCACTGAGGGCTCTAGAGAACTGGGCAGTGAGGAAACACTTGCCTGGCATGAGCAAGGCCCTTGGTCTGATCCCAATCATGCAAAAATAAGATGATCCCAGAGGTCAGGGCTTGGGAGCTGAGCCCTGATGGAGGATGTCAGGGATCTTCTGGCACCTTCTGGGGCTATTCCTGCTGGGCTGACCACAGGGGGCTCCCAGCCCTGAGAACATCACCCAGCAGACCTATCCTCCTTGTCCTGTGGCTACCATTCTTTCCTTTCCCCTGTGAACTTATCCCCTTCCCTGGCTACATCAATAAACTGAGCCTGGTGGGTGATGATGTCACACACACTCACATATAAACAGACACAAGTACATCTGGGCACACCCCAACACAGACACAAGCACACACAATCAGAAGCTCACACAATCAGTGGGGCAGCAGAGCTCTAGGCTCTGCTCTACGCTAGCCCAGCTGTGGGCTATTATGGAGCCTCCATGTAAATGCATAGACAGCACAATGCACATACAGACATCATATCAGTGCACACATGTACAACACACGTGCAGAGACACACACATTTGCACACACTCTTTTGCAGGTGCAGTGAGTACAATGGCCTCCCACAGCCCTCATGTGCCATGTCTCGCTGTATTACTCCAGCAGCAGTGGCATTGCAGGACCCTGGGGAGGTGTTAGTGTGCTGCCACCTGACCCCCTCTCTCCTCCCAGTCAGTGCCCATCATCTCACACTCCCGGTGGCTGCTGAAGCAGGGCGAGCTGCAGCAGATGTCCGGCCCTAAGACCTCCCGCACCCTGCGGACCAAGAAGCTCTTCCAAGAAATTTACCTCTTCCTCTTCAATGACCTGCTGGTCATCTGCCGGCAGATCCCTGGGTAAGCCTGGTACCGTTGGGCACAGGACCACACCTGGCCTTGGCTTGACCATGATTCGGGGCAGCAGGGCAGTAGAGCTCTAGGCTCTGCTCTGCGCTAGCCCAGCTTTGGACTATTATGGTGCCTCCATGAATCTCGGTTTCTCTCCTGTGAGTGCCTGGCTCTGAGCAGGTGCTCGGTGGAGTGGCCGCTGCCCTACCACACCCCAGGATGAGAGCTCTTCTGAGGAACAGGGGGACAGGCTTGTGGGGATCTTCCAAAGAAGGCAGAGTGGCTGGGCCTGCCAGACAGCCACGGATTCTCCTGAGACCAACCGCTCTACCCAACCTCCTCTGTTCCCCAGAGACAAGTACCAAGTGTTTGACTCAGCCCCAAGAGGCCTGCTGCGTGTGGAGGAACTGGAGGACCAGGGCCAGACGCTGGCCAACGTGTTCATCCTGCGGCTGCTGGAAAATTCAGATGACCGGGAGGCTACCTACATGCTGAAGGCATCCTCACAGTGAGTCCCCGGTGCCATGAGCCACATCGGGTAATACTCACTAAGTCAACCTTTTCCCAGGTGAAACAGGGCTCAACATATTATCTGTAGGAGGCTGGTCTGTCACTACCTATTCTTCCTACTGGGGACTGTGACATAAGGCTTTGTGGGACCTTCATGTTGAGGTGTCAGTGGCACATTCCTGAGTACATGTGTGCATAGAAGCATGCACAGTGAGTGTTCCCTCAGAACTCCAGGCTCAGGGCAAGTCCTTTTTGTGAGATGGGATGCTTAGAGTCTATAAGCTGACTGAACAGGGAGCCACGGTCCCCCGCCTCCCCTGCCCACTCACTCTGTGTGGCCTCCAGTCTCACTGCCATCTCTGAGCAGCCAGGACAGCTACCCAGCAGCCCCAGGCTCTCAAGGCAAACACGTGATGTAGGAATTGCTTTGTGGACCAGAACCCTGGATTCCTCCTGGCCTGCCCAGCCAGCCTCTCCTCTGTGCTCAGCCAGCCCTCACCACAGTCCACAGGGCATTGTCCCTGCCCTGCTGGGGCCCCAGGCTCCAGTTCACAGGGCTAACAGGGAAGTGGCATTAACCTTTCCTAGCTTTTCCATGGCTGAGAAACTGTGACTTCTGGGAAACTGGAATGGACCTTTGGAACTAGCTTTCAGGACCTTGTGGAGGCTCCTTGAACTGCCTCAGCACCTTGTGAAGTCTCCTTGACCTGCTGGGCTTCATTAAGAACCCCTAGGAGGAGTGTGCAGGGGCTCTCCATGCACCTAGCTGAGCTGCCCCAATGTAACCTGCAGCCAGGCTCAGGATGTCACTGACCTGGAGGCCTCAGGCCACACCATGGGATGGAATTTACTGGCTCTGCAGTTGGGACACTGTCCTCTTTCTGTGCAGGAGTGAGATGAAGCGTTGGATGACCTCACTGGCCCCCAACAGGAGGACCAAGTTTGTGTCCTTCACGTCCCGGCTGCTGGGTGAGTCCCTGACTGGGAAGGAGTCTCTGGGTGGCTTTGTCTGAGACTCACTGGGACTCAGCTTCAAGGCTCCTTGGCTGTCTGTGGGGGGCCACTTCTGCCAGTCCCACTCTGGTGCCAACCAGAAGCTCAGAGCCTGTGAACACTGGCTGCCTGAACTTAACAGCACTGAGTGGTTAAGGAAGTCCCTAGGTCTTAAGTATCAGGTGGCAGGATTCTGGACCCAGACTTCAGTGTTCTCTTGGGTTTACCTGTTGCCTAGAAATTATAAAGGGCCCACAGTTAGCCTGGCTGCCTTACCAAGAAGCTGCTGCTAGGCTTGCTAGCTTGTCCTGACCCCAAGCTCCTCGGAGGGCCACACCCAGAATAAGAGGTTCCTCTAGGCTGGGAGGCACCTCCCATGGAGGCCTTGGGAAGTGAGCGCCTCCCCTCAGAGGAAGCCTCTTACTACTGTGTGGTTCCAGGTCCTGCTTCAGACAGAGCTTTAACCACCTGCTGCTGGTACCATTGTCCCTGCCACCACTACCTGCTGCCCACAGCTCAGCTGGGTGGGGGCAGGGTGGAGCCTGTGATGGGGACATACCGCCCCCCACTTCCCCTCTGCAGACTGCCCCCAGGTCCAGTGTGTACATCCATATGTGGCCCAGCAGCCTGATGAGCTGACACTGGAACTTGCCGACATTCTGAATATCTTGGAGAAGACTGAGGATGGTAAGCCCCCCAGGGAACTCTGCACCTTGACCAGTATGCCCCTCAGCCCCCATGTAGGAGTGGATGGCATAGCTGGTGGATGGGCAGGCAGGCAGAGCCCAGCATCCTGACAGGCACTGGCATTTCAGGGACATTCTGCCTGACTACCAGGCCCAGCATCTCTGGAACTTTCCTCAGCCCACAGTCAGATGTTTTCTGTGCCCTGCTTCCTTCCTGTGAGTTGTGAGGGTCCTTTCCCCTCACAGGAGGCCTGGCTGGATCCTGGCTCTCTGTCCCAACTCTCAGACGTGGCCATGACCTCAGCCCTTCCCAGGAGGGAGCTCAACCCTGACCTCAGCCTCTTTGGCCATAAGCATCTAAGGATACCCACAACCACCAGACTCAGAGCCCAGTGTGGGCCAGGAAGCCCCCTTCTGCCCTCCCCGTGGGTAGCAGATGGAATTGCCGGTTTAGTGCTCCCCTCTTTTGTATGTTAAAATCAAAATCTCTGAAGTAGCCAGGTGTGGTGGCACATACCTATAATTCCAGCACTTGGGAGACAGAGGAAGAAGGAGTCCTGCAAGTTTGAGGCTAGTCTGGGCTATGATACCCCATCTCAAAAAAGTATCTTAAGAGCCGGGTATGGTGGCGATGGTGGCGCACACCTTGAGTCCCAGCATTGAGGAGGCAGAGTTAGGTGGATCTCTGAGTTCAGTTCCAGCCTAGTCTACATAGTGAGTTCCAGTCCAGCTGGGGCTACAGGGAGACCCTGTCTCAAAAAAAAGATATATATCTAATATATCTATATACATATATATTATATGCATATATATACATATATGTATGAACAAAGACCCAAGGCCTCCCCTCCTGTCCTTTTCCTCTTCTGTCCCTGGTCAGAGAAGGCCAAGTGATCTCCACAGTATCCCTCTGTGTTCCAGGGCCCCTTTGTCCTTCCCCCAACATAACCCACCTCTTCACACCCCTCCCAAAGGTGGCCTGCAGAAGGCAAGCCTCTGACCTAGGTAGGAACAGGCAATTTAGCCACAGGTCTGGCAAAGAACACTGGCGGTGGGGAGGAGGGGGCACAGAAGAGAAGTCAGGTCAGGGCACTTGGTGCCCCCAGGTCATGATGGCACCACCCTTGGGGAGCCAGCTGGCCCTCAGGCTGAGACTCTAAGAAAATGTGCCCAAGGAAAGAGTGAACTCACTCTCCAGGTCTGGTAAGTCAGTGGTCAGCCACCTCCCCCACTGGCCCCTTGGATGCCTCTACCTTTTGGGGTCTGCTGGCCTGATGTGGGGCAGCCTATGAAGGTTCAGGAACCAACTTCAAGTTGGTGCAGAAGCTCATGAGAGAACCCTATGCACAGCGCATGCCACTTATCACACGGAGGGCACAACCTAAGTTCTGGTGGGGTGCTGAGGCTCTGCTCTTTGAGAAAGACCAGCTGGGCTCCTGACCATGGCTCAACCCTTCTTCCCTATACACAGAGGAACCCTGGTTAAGAGGGAACCCCAGCCCTGCCCCACACCACCCCTGCAGAGCTCCTGACCTACTGCTTCCTTTGCAGGGTGGATCTTTGGTGAGCGCCTGCACGACCAGGAGAGAGGCTGGTTCCCCAGTTCCATGACAGAGGAGATCCTGAACCCCAAGATCCGCTCCCAGAACCTCAAGGAATGTTTCCGAGTCCATAAGATGGAGGACCCTCAGCGCAGCCAGAATAAGGACCGCCGGAAGCTGGGGAGCCGGAATCGGCAATGAGCTGCAGCTCAAGCACCAGCCTAGAGGAGGCCTGTGGGCAGGGCGAGAAAGGGCCCAGCAGGGACCCCAACAAACACAGGCAGCCTTCCCAGGCAGGAAGGGTGGCTTGGTCCTGCACTGGCCCTGCCCAGGCAGTGAGGGCTCTGGTGTCTTGGCCACTGGCTCACTTACACTGGAGAAAGGATGAATTTTTAAGCAGTATTTAGCTACCTCTCCAGCCTCAGAGCTAGGAGGGGGTGGACATGTTCCAGGGGAGTTCCAAGGACTAGACAAAGTGCAGACCCAGGGGTCCCTAGCAGGAGGCAGGCAGAAGGTGACAACTGTCGGGAATATCCCCCGCACTGCACGCTCTTTCCCTACTTTGGAAGCTGTTAAAAGTCTACCAAGCACATGGATGGGCCACCCTTGCCTGGGGGAGCTTGGAGCACCCACCTCTGCCTGCCCCTCCCTGTGCCTCTTCCAGCCTCTGTTGCACGGCCAGGCCCTGTCCTCATCAGGCCTCCCAGAGTTTGGCTGAGGGCTCATGCTGCCTCTGGCTCCTTGAAGGGCTGGATGCCACTTGTGTCTCCTGGCCCCTGAAGGAGCCCAGGCATTTTGCGGCTCACTGCATCCTGTATGGTCATGGTTCTGAGAAAAGCAAATACCATTTTTGGCTGCATTAAAAGAAGCATCATGTATAAAATAAAGAGGTGAGGCCTGTTCTTTATTGCCCTGATGCACACAGGAATGAAGCATTTGGTTCTGGAGTGGGAGGGAGGAAGCAGCCCTCCAGGCCAGTAGGGGAGGGCTCTTCCCCAGGGAGGTCTCTAGAACCTTCCAGAGGGAGCAGCCAGCATCAAGCCTCAGAATGGGAGTAAATTTGGGTCTTTGCTTGTGAAGGACAAAGGGCTCTCTGAATGGGTTGGGGACTCCTTTGGTTGCATCTGGGGTACACATTTACAGAAGGTACCAACAGGCAACAGCCCCTCAAGGGATCTGACCCAGGGCCTGGGCCTGGTCTCCCTACCTGGTCCAGACACAGCCTTGGTCGCTCCTTTGTGTTTTCAGTGTTAGCCCCGTTACCCAGGTCTGCACAGCCAGTCCACATCTCCCCACTTCTGTCATAAAGAAGTGTTGAGGGCACTGTGTACTGTGCACCTGTCCAAACACATTTTTCTCTGCATTGGAACAAGCCTTTTAATTTGTTTCCTGAGACAGGCTCACTGTGTAGCCCAGCTTGGTCTTAAACACAACCCTGCCTCAGGCTCCTAAATACAATGATTTCATGTGTGGCCATGCCTGGCCCAGAACTGTCTTAGAATTAGGGCCACACAGACCTTCCTAGCATCTTCCTACAGATCGCAGTGGGGCTCTTGATGATCTTGAGACAGCTCATGCTTGAGCTTCCCTGGAAGATACCGCCTTCAGTGCTGCAGCCAAAGCCTGGCATCGACCACCTTGTCCCTACCTCTGGTACTGTCCAGAAGCGTCAGCCCCCAACTTCTGGGTCAGCTGAAGAGGGAGATTCAGTCCCAGGAGCATCATGCATACAAACGTACGGGGGG